ATGGTATAGCGAGCATGTACAAGATTGTCTTGCAAATCACAAAGGAAGTGCCGGAGGTATGGAAGTTCAAGGCATGTTAGAAATATTTGCAAGAGCCGAAGATCTACACAGCGCAAAATATAAAAAGTACATTGGGGATGGCGATACCAAGACGTTCAAAGCTCTATTGCAACAGAACGAAGAAGTAGAAAAAAAGAGTGTGTAAACCACGTGCAAAAAAGGATGGGTTCGAGTCTTCGTAACGCAAAAAAAATGAACAAAAACATGGGTGGACAAGGTGCCGGAAAACTGACAGACAAATTGATAAACAAATTGACTACTTATTATGGACTCGCAATAAGACGTAACCCGAATGACGTTGACAAAATGATTAATGACGTGTGGGCTACTTTTGAACACAAAATTTCAACGAACGAAAAACCTATGCACGAACGTTGTCCAAGCGGACCGGCTTCATGGTGCAAGTGGCGGCAAGCTGAAGCGGCTGGAACTTTGAGCAGCTACAATCATCCCCCTCCTCTCGACTCTAAGGTGCAGGAAGGCATTCGAACGGTTTATGAAGATTTGTCATCGCATGATTTACTGATTCGTTGCCGTGGAGGATTTACTCAAAACAATTACGAGAGTTTCAGCAAAGCTATTTGGCAGTTCGCACCAAAACACGTTTTCAGCGGCTCTAATATCATTCAAATAGCCGCATTTCTAGCCACCTGTATTTTCAATAAAGGTTTTAAATCTATTTTGAAAATTATGGAAACCATGGGCATCACCATCGGCCCATATGCAGACCTATTTGCCTCTAATCGTGTCGCAGAGCGCATAAAAGATGCAGAGCGACGAACGTCCTATCATTCCGTGGAACAAAGAATGGCTCGAAGTAACGAGAATTTGAATACCCTGCGCAATTTCGAGGAAACTGAGGAGTTACTCTATGGGCCTAGAAACTTACAGCTGATTAGCTGTAAGTTTCCACATATAAACATTTATATCAATGAAAACTTAACTTGAAACTTTAAACGCATTTTCCCGAAAACCACATTTTTCGACTTGGCGGAAGTAATAACTCACAATTTTCAACGAATCACATCCGGTCTTTTTTAACATATATAAAAATGTTTGTTTTATGGAATAGACTTGTTAGGTTCGTAGAAGGGTGGAAGTACTCTCCAATTTCGACTCCAATATATATTTAATTACAGCTCACAGATTACACGAATAAACCGTAGGACGATCACAGAGTACCTTACGCGGCGACAGTCAGCGGTAAAGAGAGCGAGCTCCCACTTTGCACCGTCATGCCGGTGCTCCGAATTTCTCGCGTATATAGCACCGCGGACGGCGTATGATTCGTTCTAGTCCCGCGCATTACAACTATAGATGCGCGGCCCTAACAAGACTATTATTATATCGATATCTGTAATATTTTATTTTTTATCAACACAAAAATATCGGAAATTTTTAGCAAAAAGTGAACATTATTTTTGAAATGTCGCCATTTTGTCAATTTTTGTTCAAACTTATTTTCTTTAGTCTATTCCAGAATTACATTTATTCTTAACAGAAAAATCGTTGCGTTAGCTGTTTCAGACAAATTTTAAGACCTGGAGAACTTCCGCCAGGACGCCATGGTTGGCGCGCAGAGATTTTGGCTGCTCCATATTCCGCTGCAGTAAATTAATAAAATTGACTAAAAGTTTTTTTACAATATACTTTAAAGTGTAATAAATACAATATAAAAGGTTTTAGTTTCTACGTTGTTTACTTTTTCTACAAAAAATTCACAAACATTGCCTATTTTTGGACCTAATAAACCAAATGGACCCATAATTTACGGCTGTAAGTTTTATGAAAATTACACATCGTTCCAGGGGTTTGGCTACCTGCCGCCTGATCTAATAGTCTCCGACAATTCTACACAATTTACTGCAGTAGAATTTAAACAACTTTGTTCGTACTTCAACATCTCACAGCTCTCTAGGATATCTACAAACTAATGGACAAGCAGAGAGAATGGTTGGAACACTAAAACGGACAATGGATGTAAACTAGTGAATACAACTTGAGACTGAGTTAAATCAGTTGATTTACATCTAAAATTATACTCCTTGTGAGGCAACTTTGGACCATAAGTCTCCTGTTAAAATCTTTTTTGGCCTCAAGCTGCTTACACCACTGGAGATATTCACTCCTGTCTCCAAACCAAATATGTCGCTAAGGCATCGACAAATGAAAATAAAACAGCAATTTGATTCTCATCATGGCACTAAATCTCGTCACTTTGTTCCGGGTCAAATTGTTGTTGTACAACTTGCTAATGGACAAGGTGTTTCAGGAACATTTATTCAAAAGGTGGAGAGACTATCGCCCAGGTTTGCGTTGCAAAAAACTAATCATGCGACAGTTTGACCAAATTTGGAACAGTATGGCGGGGTCAGATGACAAACAGCAGGCCGTCAACACGGACCTTATTGCCCTTATGCCAACATCCTGATGCAGGGATACAGGCAGATAAACCTCTGATGTAGATTACTCTAGATATCTCGCCGAGAGAATCTGGAGAGATAGAACATCTCAACGACACCTATACAGCTACAGCAGGGAAAATTCTTTGTTGTTTAAGTCAACTCACCGATCACAGGTGAAAATTAATAAGTAGTGCGTCTTAGTGCCTACCTTCCCGAGGATACACTCCTATTTATTACTATAGAAAATATAGTATATCATATGATTAAGAACAAAAAGATCAAGGGTCCAACAGAGAACGGACGAATTAGATATACTGTGATATTAAAAGCAAAATGGCAAAAGGTCCGAACAGATAGTGAGTCATTATGGGTCAACTTAAGTACTCGTAAATATTTTTGTTATAAGCTTGCACAATTGTAAGAGTTCTTATATGTTTCAAATTTTGTAAGATAAATGTCATATTAACAAAGTATTTGAGAGACTTTTTTGTTTGCCTCAACTCTGACACCACCCTTCCACAAGAAAGTATTAGCTTCAAATATCAAAAATATCTAAAATATCTTAAATTGACAAATTTATCTTAAAATTATAATTTATTTATACAGATGTTTTTGTTACAATAAGAATAATAAAGAGTTACATACCTTATACTTACAGTCTTCACCACCAGAAACTATAAGTCCATTTACTGAATTCCAGCAAGCGACCAAAATGAGATTATCATGTGCTTGCCACTGAAATTAATTTATGTTAGTCATTAGAAAGGTTTACTCAAAAAATAAAATCAAGACAGAAAGACTTACGATAAAGAAATTACTAATTTTTTTATCTGTTAGTTAATTTGCTTTTTATAAGTAAAATGTTTTGAATTGCAAAAAGAACGAAAAAATAATATTCTCATAGTTGTAAGATCATTATTTGAGATTAAAAGATTCACTTTTTATTTCGACTTATGAAATAAGTAAATCCCTAATTTATTAAGTGGTAGCTAAAATAACAACACTTCATGAAATTACAATAAAATTACAAAAATAAAATATAATTCTAAGAGGGAATGGTATCTTTAAAAGTTTCAAAAAATCGATTTAACATACCTTGTACGGTTTAGAAGTAGAATTAAATGACTGAAGAAGCAAATTTCTACCCTGGGAATACAATATTGTCGAACAATCAGGACTCCAGCTTGATGTTAATATAGGAAGGTTTGCTTTTATTAACGTAGATCGAAGCATACCACTACGAGACCAGATCTTGATTAATCCATCCTCACCAGCTACAATCAAGATTATATTTTTTGACAGAATAAATTTAAATTATTGTATAAGATAATGTGTATTATACCTGTCAATAATGCAGAACCATCAGTACTCCATCTACCTATTGTAGTCGCACCTTTGTGGGCCTCAATACTTTTTTCGATGCGACCACTTTTATTAACCAAATGGTATTTTCCTAAAAATTAAACATTTATTATAAAAAAATATTGTTCTCAAAATACTAAAATAAAGAATGTGGCTAAGTACTGATAAGCAGTTGACCTACATTTTCCAGAAAAAAATTAAAAATCTACTTTGAACTTAAAATAAAGAGTATATACGTCATACAAATATGCGGTCAAAGTGGATGGATGTTTTGTTCCAGAAATATAGCTTATTGAAAATTCTACTTCCACCAGATTATTGTATTCGTCTGTATGAGTGTTGATCAGCAGTTGCTACAATTCTGTACCACATATCTTTACATCATTTATCTCCTTGATAATTAAAATAGATCTATCTTATCAATCTAATCTGAGAAGAATAGTTCTTTGCTCTTTTGAAAGTGTGATACTGTTCTCATGTTGCCTGCATCAGCTTTTATTTTCACTATATCTTCCACACAAAACATCCGTCCACCTGCGTATTTATAATCTATGCGACATAAATTTTATGTCCAAAATATATTTTTAATTTTTGTCTGGAAAAAATAATCTACAGTTGGCCAAACTCTTTATTTATTTCTTACGTAAAACAAAAAACTTCTTGTGTGATTTCTTGTGTCTTTCATTAGGGCAAGTCAAAAATAATATAATTTCTTAATGAAAAAATGTCTAACTGCCCATTGGCGTCTCATCAATGATTTGCATGTCATTGAATAGATCTTGTCTAGTAGAACAAAAGTTCTAATGGTCATAACTCAATTGGTACACAAGATCAAGAGTTACAGAGAAAAACAAAATAAAGTATTCCTTACATAATAAACGAATAAAAAAAATATAAGCAAAAAAGGAATACAAATATGAAACAAAAGCAATATTAATTTAGTTGACTTTGATCATATCTTAAGTAATACAATAAATAAAAAGTTCAAAGACAAGGTAACTAAAGAATATGCTCTGACCCTGAATGTTATAGAGCACGTTTGTTAACTTCAATCTGCTCTCCTATAAAAACTATTTGTTTACGTAATTTTGCTAAAGAAAACAATTGTTTCTTTCAGCATAAAGAATCACGTCTTACACTCCGCATACGAATCTGTAAAATTTTATTGTATTATAACTTTTTCTTTGTTACTATATAATTTTTGAATCCTTGTATTAATCGAGTTATGACTATTAGAATCTTTGTTCTATTGGGCAAGACCTATCTAATGACAGCCATATGATTGATGGATGCCAATGGGCCGTTTGCCATAACGTTTTATTCTTCTTTAAATTATAATTTTGAAACTTTATTTATTTAGTTTTAAAATACTAAACTAATTGTTAATTGTTAACACTAAGCTGTCTCTTTTTGCTGAATTGTGCAGACGTATGCTGATTCATGAATCTTTATATAAATTGATTTCTTATTATTTACTGCTATAATCAGAATGGTATATCTTTCAGATTTAATTTAATCTGCTCTATTCATTCACTCATGCACACATGTATGTATGTTTATAATTATAATTTTTATTCTTTATTATTATTGCAATATCCCAAAATTATGACTCTAGGGATATTTCTTAGATAAAGTGTACTGTATGCAATACAATACGATTTTAAATATATCAAAAATATTGTACAATATTTCTGCAATATATAATAATTTGGGAGTGAACATATCTATATTGTGGCAAGCTTCCAGGAATATTTCACGCAATATTCCAATCTCGAAAAACAATATTCCTGCAATATATCGTGCTGTAAGAGACAGTTAGTAAATTATAGAATAATTATTAGCATTATTTTCATAAGTATTATATTTATTTGTAAAATATATTTGTAATTTCTTTTTATTATATTTAATGTTCTCTATTATTTATGTTATTTATGAAAAATTTATAACTAATTTAATAAAAATAGTTTAATTATAAAATAAGTATTCAAAATTAAGTATAATAATATTATATTTTTATCATCTAATAATATATATCAAGTGAATAACATACCATCCGCTGTAGTAATTAATACAACATCTAAAGAAGATGTGTTTGTCTTGGCAGAAGAAACAATATTGGGGCGAGGATGCCACTGCATATCGGTTGGATAAAAATCATTCGGAAATTCTATTACAACAGTAGAATGTGCAACACCGCCTTCTAAATGCCAGCATATTAATAAATGATCTTCCCTGGAAAACAGATAATATATTGATTTGGTTTTATATGCATTCAAATAGAAAATTGTAAGATAAATAAAAGTAAGGTTAAATAATAAATTTTATTATGAAATTGTGCAATTTTACTGAATATATACAATATTAATCTAAATATAAAAATAATGTAATAATAAACTTTTATTTAAAAATGCATACTTAATATACAATACATGATGTAAAATTATAAATAATGTATAACTTAACATAATAAATTATGTGTATGTTTTATTAAATTTTTAATTTAATAAATTATTATTAGAGGAGACCCGTGTTATGAGATAGGCTACTAATATTAGATAGCGGGAGGTTTCTGTTAAACTAATAAGCGCCATTAGTTGGTTTCACCATAAACTTTTTACTCTTGGATTTTTATCCAAATTAACTATTTAATAAAAAATTCATTGTTCGATTGTGCGTGTAGCCGTTATAAAAAAAGGTTTAAGAAATTGGATATCGTTAAGTTCTATTAAGGTGAGTTTTTAAACCTTGTGTATTATGTAATAAATAAATATTTGGCAATAAATTCTCATGCAGTGATAGAGTAAGAGTATACGGGATATGTTTAATTATTTAGTTGTAGAGATTAGATTTGGTGGTCGCAAAGCCGCAAAGCATACGGCTTGTATTACAAGATATTCAGTACACATACGAGATAACATATGCTCGAGTGTTAACTATTGCGATCAACTAGCTGTTAATAAAAATAAAAAACAAATGCAAGCAACACCATCTGCAAAACGAGGGCGTAAACAAAAAACTTCCGTAACGAATCTTTCAAAAACATGTGGCCTCTATAACTATCACCTAACTATCATATCTAACTATGTCCTTTCCAAATATCAATAAGTATTATTACATATTCGTTTTTATTCTTATATATTTTTTATCTTAATTACTCTTTTTAAGTTATAATATTGTTCACATGTTGTTTATATACAAATATTGCTTTTGATATTTCTATTTCAATTTTATTCTAATTCTATTCAATATATCTTATAACTGTTAAAAGAAAATGAAAACAACCAATTTTTATAAGAATTATCTTATTTGTACATTGTAAAATTACAGATACGAAGTAATAAAGGATATAATGCCCAAGATGAATGTTAGTGACTAAATAATTTTTTTATTTTTAAATTTATTGCGAAAAATTTACCTCAGCCAGGGTTTGAATCTGGAGTCTGGACCTCCCTCTTACTAGGCGGACATCTCAACCAATTCAACCACCGAGGCATATAAATTTTTTACAATAAATTTAAAAAAAATTAAGCACTAACTTCTGTCTTATATCCTTATTTCGTATCTGTGATTTTACATCAGAGCCTTATGAATTTTACATTGTAAAATATTATATATGTATTTAGTAAAATATAAATAAGTTTTCAAAGTTATATATCAAAGTTATAATTTCTACTTACCCACAAGAATAAATTTCTTCTGTTGAACTCCATGCAACACAAGTCAGTAGTCTTTTATGTCCATTATTTTCTTGTTCAGATATCTTGAATCTCATGTTGAATTTTATTTTTGATGAATTATATATGTATATGTATGTGTATGTAGTTATTTATAAAATCCTTATTATATATAATATTATATGTAATATTTCTAACAGAAGCAAGAAAAATGCAACACTTGGTTCTTGCAATAAATTAACAATAAATTTAAGTTAATTTAATTTAAACATGCAAGTACAAAGTAAATATTATTAATAATAAGCAATTTTATCACAAGTTTTGGTATAATGAATTTTGTTTGTCTGGTAGAAACGTTCGTTGCAACAGAAATTATGTGGGTTATGTTACAACTGCTATAGATACATTTTGTTTATACTTTAATTTCCATGGTAACCATAACGGCACTGGTTGTGTTCCAAAACTCACTGCCAGTGACAATCCATAGCATGCCTTATGCGGCGTCTACAATGAGACTTCAAGACGTAAGATTTAAGAGATTAATCAATCATAGTCAAATGTGAGGAGAATACTCGACTGTAATTGGCCAATTTCTTAAATCTTGTCAAGTCCAACCAACAAGTCTTGAAAACTCACTGTATACACCGCATTACATGCACTATGAAGACTAGTCTTTATAACTAAAATATATCCCAGCGACAAATGATATACTGAAAAGACGGTTATTAAACGTTACCATGCGGCATGTAATATTGTTAAAATATTGTAATTTTCTGAAGTGGTACATATAGAAATATTTCTGTAAAACACATGCATACACATACGCTCGCACGCGCGCACGCACGCACACACAACACCGGACAATTACTTTACGTGAACAAAGCGTTGCCCGTTTACCGTTGAAACACATCAAATGCACGTGATAATCACCATAATATTCTTCAAAATGTTTTAACATTTTCTAATATAGAAATATTTTCGTGTAAAATTGAAAAAGACGCGCTCGATTTTCTCGATACTTTCTGCATTTTTCGCGTAATATTAATGTCTACGAAATGCTTGAACATATCGGAAACGTTCTGCATTTCTTAATCAAGTCGACGATTGGTAATAAACAGGCAGTCCAATTAAAAAAACAATTAAAATTAAATACTTACACCCTCAGAATTAAAGATTTTTGTTACTGACAAATGAGATAAAAAATATTCTTAACGCATTTTATATTTCTCACAACCTCATTTAGTATAAAAATAAGACAATATTAAAATGAAATCAATATTCTTATTTTTTTCTATCGAATTAAAAAAGATTGACTTACTATATTGAGACAAGAGTAACTTATACG